TTSCCTGCTCCTGCTGGCTACGTTGTTTCTGACACAAGCCAGGAGACCCTTGGCCTTSTTGGCCACCTGGGCTCACTGCTGGCTCATGTTCAGCAGCCAGCTGAACAGCATCCCCAGGTCCTTTTCTGTTGTCCCAAACCTGCAGCACGGCATGGGGTTGTTGTGACCAAAGTGCAGGGCTTTGTCTTGTTGAACCTCATACGGTTGGCCTCAGCCCATTGATCCAGCCTGTCCAGATCCCTCTGCAGAGCTTTCCTACCCTCAGGCAGATCAACTCTTCCTCCCAGCTTGGTGTCATCTGCAAATTTGCTGAGGGTGCACTAAATCCCCTCATCCAGATAAAAAATAATAATCCAATAAAGATATTGAAGAGGACTGGCCCCAACATTGACCCCGGGGAACATCGCTCGTGACCGATCATCAGCTGGATTTGACTCCATTCACCACCACTCTCCGGGCTTGGCCATCCGGACAGTTTCTCACCCAGTGAAGAGTGCACCTGTGTAAGCCATGAGCTGGCAGCTTCTGCAGAAGGCAGTGGGAGACTGTGTCAAAGCCCTTCCTGAGGTCTAAGCAGACCAAGTCCACAGCCTTTCCCTCATCCACTAGGTGGGTCACCCAATCACAGAGGGAGCTTAGGGTTAGTCAGCCAGGACCTGCCTTTCATGAACCCATTTTAGCTGGGCCTATTCCCCTGGTTGTCATGCATTTGCTGTGTGATCCCCCTCAAGATGATCTGCTCCATAACTTTCCCTGATACCAAGGTCAGGCTGATAGGCCTGTAGTGCCCCAGATCCTCCATCCAACATTTCTTGTAGATGGTTGTCACCTTGGCTAGTCTCCAGTCACCTGGGACCTGCCTATTTGACCAGGACCACTGACAGATGATGAAGAGTGGCTTGACAAGCACTTCTGTCAACTCCCTCAGAACCCTTGGGTGGATCCCATCTGGCTCCATAGATTTGTGAGTGTGCAAGTGGAGTAACAGGTCACTGAGTGTTTCCTACTGCAGTATGGGGGGTTTATTCTGCACTCTAGACGTGTCTTCCAATTCATGTGGTCAAGTACCTTGAGGAGAACTGATCTGGGTGTTACAGACTGAGGCAAAGAAGGCATTAAGTACCTCAGCCTTATCTTCATCCTTGGTGACTATGTTGCCCGCCACATCGAAYAATGGATRGAGATTCTCCTTGACTCTCCTCTTCTTGTTAATGTATTTGTACAAACATTTTGTTGTTGTTGTTGTCTTTTACAGTGGTGGCCAGACTGAGTTCCATCCGAGCTTTCCCCTTTCTAATTTACTCCCTACTTACCATAGTGATGTCCTTGTACTATTCCTGAGTTGCCTGCCCCTTCTTCCAAGGGTGGTAAATCGTCTTTTTTTCCTGGACTCTCAGTGATAGTTGCCTATCCAGTCAGGCTGGTCTTCTTCCTCACCAGCTAATCTTTCAGTACATGGAGACAGCCTGCATAGTGCACATGATACTTGCAGATTTCAGGACGCAAGAACTTTAATAGCAGTGCTCAACTCAGGGAAGAGGAGTAGAATTTGATAAATGAGCATTTTCCCTTAAAGGAAGTTCATGCAGTTCCCCTTTTTAAAATAGACTCAAGAGTCTGTCTTGACCTTCAGCTGCTGGAATATCATGTGAAGCTCCTTTTAGGGAAGGAAGGGAGAAGTAGACAACATGAGTCTGAAACTTAGAAGGAAATTTTGAGTGGAGCATCTAGAAATATTCTCATATAGTTATTTGGAATAATGTGGAAAAATCTCCCCAAGGGAAGAGAGAGAGATGGCCAAAATCATTATTTAGTGTAAAAATGTATCAAAAATATAAAGCCAGGTCTGTTAAAGATCTGGAGAGTTAACTAACTGTGATAAACTGCATTAATCCACAGAATGGTCCAGTATTTTTAGGTTTGGGAGTTGAGATTCAGTTCAGAAGCTGAAACTGTTGTCGTTTAATAATTCAAGTCTTCAAGGACAAAGAGAAGAATGTCATTCCACTATCCCAGATAGTTTGTCTCGGCTTATCTCTGCATCAGTATGACTAGATAGCAGCATGACTAGATAGGGCAGCAGAGAAGGATTTGAAGGACAAGGATCCTGTCTCTGACTGTAGTATAGCCTTGGTTCCTTGCTGTATCTGAAGCCAACAATGTTCCTTCCCACTGCTATTGAGAAGCACAGTTTAGGGAAGTCTCCTAAWCTCCAAACAAACAAGTGCCTTCTCTAGCATACTTACAGACTTACCAAATCAATTATTTCCCTACTAAAAGGTGAAGCAAGCCTCAGAGCTCTGAAAGAGAGAACTTTTATAGGTAATTCCCATCCCTTCCAATAAGTCAGCCGTGGAACCAGACTCTTTTATCTCAGCAGTGAGAATATGACTCAAGAAGAGAGGTATCTTTTAGACTGATCAATCTCAGATCATCTACAGATTTAAAAAGTCATACTCACGTTATTGAAGTACATTGATTTTGTGCATTATCAGCTTGGGACCTAGAACTTGTCTGCAGTAAAAATGTTGGTAACAGCTGTGAGAAACACCTTTAATTAAATAACAAAATAGTGTGCCAGACAGGAACACAATCAGAAGTATCAAGGCCACAAAAATGATCTTAAGAACAGTGGTCTCCCTTGCCAGTTAAACCAGAAATCATTCTGGATGTACRTAAGTGGGATGGCAAAGTCCAAGGAAAGTAATGGTCTATTACAATCATAGAGGGGAAGGTGGAAAAAGGCAAGCTGTGGCTAGACGATAGTAGTGAGGAATGTTTTTCTCTTTATTAGTATGTTCACCTGCTTATATTTGATTTGAACTTGTATTGAGAACAGGGGTGTGTTTTCAGTTTCAAAGCTTCAGCTTCAAAGAGGAAATGTCGGAAAGTATTAAATTAGATGTTTTCATCTTAGTAGCTGGTATGCTTCAACCTACAGGAGGGACTCYGATTCTGAGCTCTACAGTGGCTCTTAGAGAAGGAGGAGAGAATACTAAAGGCAATTTAGTACTKGGCTGTACAAATTGCTAGGAATGAGTTACATTAAGCCAATTTCTCTTTGGTTTCAAATTAACTAGTCCTTTAGGCAGAGAAGCTGAAAATCCTAGGGCATTTTTACTTTACTTGAGTTTCTAACACTGCCTCACATCCTGTTCTCATTAACATGTCCTAAAATAAAATAYCAGAAAGGGGATGCAAAACTGTCCGGAAAACCATACCTCAAGAAAYGCCAACAGTTCGCTAGCACAATTGCTAAGCTGATGGCAAAAAGGACACCAGTTTGGGAGAGCTGCAAACCCGCGGGTGTGTAGGGGCTGCACCCTTTAGCCAAGGGGGAACACGGAACGGGCACAGTTCAGTTCACGCGGCGGGCTGCRCGGAGCCGCCCGCACACGGTGGCGAGTTGCAGAGAACGCGCCCGCCTCGGCGGAGGCGCTGTCCCCAACGGCCGCGCTCCAACGGCCGCGCTCCAACGGCCGCACTACAGCCCCCAGAATGCACCGCGCGCGGCCCGAGCCGGCGGCCGGGGCGCTGCGCACGAAAGGAGCGTGGCGGCGTCGGAGGCGGGGCATAAACAAGCACTTCTCTGCCATTGGGCGAGCGACTCCCGCCTCTAGCAGCGCTTCTCCGCAGCTATTGGGCTAGCGGGCCTCGGGGGCGGGCACGGTGCGATCCTTTCTGCTCATTGGGAGAGATCAAATTGCAAASGAGGAGGGCGGGGATCGGCGCGCTTCTCCCCCCGCCCGTTGGACCCTGATGGAGACAAGGGCGGGCTCCTCCAGGACCGCTTTTTATTGGCTGTGGAGCGCTTGTAGGGCCCGCCCCCTTCCCTCCGCCCTTCTCATTCGCTGAGGACTCGCCGGTGGGCGTGGAAATCCCGCGGTGGCTCCCGGGCCCTCATTGGAGGAAAGCGGTGGTTCCGCCGCTCGCTTCCTGCTTCCGGCTGGCGGGGTGGCCGAGGGCAGCCGGCGCGCAGCGGGGCTCGCGGCCCCCCGGCGGCCTCTCCGCGCCATGGGCCGCTCGTGAGCGCGCCCC